CTTCATGTGGTTTCTCCGTGCATCTATAATTGACAATTTTGATCTTCGGTCTAAACATTGTAGGTTCTGTGATTTTGTATTCATCTCCTAATTTCTTTTCGAATTCAGTTTTGAGTGTGTTGTGGTGTTCCTCAGCCAGTTTAATTATAATTCCTCCATTTTTAGAATTTCGTATATTTTCTATTTGTATTTTCAAATCCGTAAGGCTAATTTTTTTGTTAAGGTCTTTTCTCGTTTGTTCAGATGTTTGGATACCATTTGGTGTGACAATTATGTTCTTCATTGGGTCTTTCTTGATTGTTGGAGTATCTCGCTTTAGTACTTGGGCATATGATTTCTCTTTAATTTTCTCAATTTCAGTCAATCTTTGATTTATTTTATTTATCATTGTTTCAACGGTACCTTTTTCGTGTATGGCTGATGTCGCTAAATTGTACTGTTCTTGTAGTCTTCCATTTTCATTGCTCAACTGTAGTATTAGTTTATCCTTTTCTTCTAATATCTGTTTTAAGTGTTTATTTTCTTCTAGAATCTTCTGAGTGTCCAAGTTTCCATCAATGTAAACTTCCATTGTATCTGATTTTTCCGTTGAGATCTGGTTTTTAACTTTTTTCTTCGGCATCATGCATATATATCAACTCAGCAGCAGCAACACTCAGTATAGCGTGAAGCCACAGTTGAAATATTACTTTTATTGGTCCTGAAGTTGACACAGCTTGACATGAATAGCATTTATACATCACTGTTTGCCACACTCTTCTAGATCACCATGTATGTGTGATATTCATTTTTTATCATAACTGTTTATCAATGCGCCGACAAAATATTAAGACAGCGTTCGGTATCTACGATGGCACGTGATTTCCTGGCCTATTACCGAGTAGTTTCCTATCAATTTCCGCTGATAAATGAGAAAGCATAGGCCTTTTCATCCAAACATCGATTTTTCTTTATGAAGTTTTTCCGATGTTATCCACTTCCTAGACAGACACGTAAGGTCGGAGTGGTTATTGAGCAAAAGAAAACAAGAATAAGATGAGCCCCTGATGTTACTTCCAGCCTTACAAATTGAATTTTGAGTCCTTCGAATGTAACAATCTTAAGAAATAGTTTCATAACAGAAATTCCTACACGGGAATGGAAGTTAATATATTTATCTGCCTCCTTTTATTCAAATTCAAAATATTTATTTCTCCATAGTCAAAAGGTGATAAAATTAAGGTATTACACAAATAATATTTTTGTTTGGCTGATAAATGTTTTTTTAATTTGTTTATATTTTTTAGTCGCATGTAAGCTAAATTTGTTCTGTTTTTTATATGACTGCCGAAGCCAAACGAGCTATTAAATATAATGTTTAGATTTTTTGTCTCCTGAACTATGGGTATTTTGTCATTGTTAATAGAAATTACTAAATTTTGTTCAAAATATTCTCTTTCATTACTGTTTTTATTCATAACCATTACTTGCGATTTTGAGGGGTTTAGTTTAAGATTGTGATGCTTTGCAAATCTGTCAATTCTTTGGAGATCTGAATTTAGTTGTTGTGCAATATGGATTGTGGTTTTATTGAGAGGGAGATATATTTGTGAGTCATCTGCATATTGTTTTATCTTTGCGAATTTTACCGATTTGACCATGTCAGATATGTAGAATGAAAATAGCAAAGGAGATAGAATTGAACCTTGAGGAACTCCTCTTTTTATAGGTTTAAAATCGGTTTTGTAAATAGCAGAATCATTTGCTAACATAACACAGTTTGAACGGTTGCTTAGGTATGTTTTTATTAGATTCACGGAGTTCTGCGAAAACCCCTGGTAATGTAACTTAGCTAGTAACATTTCATGATTCAGAGTGTCGAACGCTTTACTAAAATCGAGAAGAACCATGCACGTACTATTTTTTTGATCTTGATGATGTCTGATATCATCCAAGATATTAACTAATGATGTACTTGTGCTAAAGTTTTTCCTAAAACCGGATTGACTATCGGGTATGATATCGTTTGTGTCACACAAAAATCTAATTTGATTATAAATATGCCTTTCTGAAATTTTGGATATAGTAATATGCTAATAGGCCTCAAGCCTGTAAATTCTTTAGGTTCTGCTATTTTTGGTAAAGGTTTAACAATAGCTTTCTTCCATATTTCTGGAAATAGTCCCCCCAAAATACATGTGTTGATTATATTCAGCAAGGCTTTCGTACAAAATGGGATACATAACTTTAGGTCTCTCATAGAGAAACCATCCTCTCCAATGGCATTTGCTGAGATATTGGTTACAATTTTTATTAGACTGGCCCTGTCTGACAGTTGGAAGCTAAGAGAATCCTTAACGTTTACATTGTTTTTGTCAAAATTGATTAATTCTTGGGAAGCAGTGTCTGGTAAATTGTCGGTCTGCTGGAAGTAATTGTGTATATCATTTACATTTTGTGTTCGGGTATAGTTGAGTGAGTTTTCTTGCATGTTATGTTAAGGTTTTTGGTAGTATCCCAAAATTCCTTACCTTTCTTTGTTGAGAGTAAGTTAAAGAATGAATTTTTTTCTCGGATAATTGCATGCTTTGTATAGTTTTATCTGAAGGAACCTATATTAACATTTGGTTTGGGGGTCTGTTAGTCACATTTTCCTAAACATGTCCACAGATCTCGATTCTGTTAAAAGCTCACGAGCAACCAAACTGCTGTTGAACTCAATAAAATATGTACTCGCGTATTTGAAAAATTTTACTTGAAAAGTCATTCTCCTTGTATAATTTTTAAGAAAAAAGGAGATCATTGAAAATGGAATACCAACGCCTATTTTAGATGATTTTAAAAAGGAATAAAAAAACGTAGTTTAATATTTTAAATTAAGTTGGTATATGTGGTTATAAAAAACAGATTGTAGTGTTGGCGATGTCTTCTGTTTTATACAGAATAAAGTGCAGCGGAGTCAACGATTTAAATAGTTTAAGGCTCTAAAGAGGAAACATGAAATTCATCCGTTACATGTGAGACGTGTAGCCAATTTAATTCAGTTTGGCAAAACAAGAATCGAAAGTTGTCTTAACCAAGCTTTTAGGCAGCACACTTCTAGATACCGTATGTTTTTTGGCAAAACAGGAATTACCGTTCATTTTGAAGGCTCTGATAATAGAGGAAATTACATGGAATTGTTAAGATTCATTGCCAAAAAAGATCAAAAATTTTCCGAACATCTAGAAACGGCGATTGTTTTTTCGGACTGCTTGGATTAATCATAGCATAAGACGATGAGATATATCAAGTGCCCCAGACGCTCAGTCCAGGAATGTTTACCTTAATGCAAGTGTTCATCCTAGGGCCTTCCAGAGAATCATTCAAGCTGGGTGGCTGAATTCCTCGTAGGCTGCAAGCTATCCGTCGTGTCAACGCGGGTGTTTCCCCGGGATCGCTTACTGACATTAAGCTTTTTGCCTACGCGGCTGTATTATTATAAAAGAAGATATGATTTCTCACTTCCTTAGTTTGGGCTCGCGGTTTGACATAACTTTTCACTTTTTCACTTCCAAGTTCCATAAGGAAGTTTGCTTGAGGTAGGTTCAAACATAGTATTGAAGCTAAGTGCCAAGTACTGATACGATCTACTTGAACCATTTTTGACTTGACCCTTTTTTCTCATCTAGTTTTGAGGAGTCCCAAATTAGTTTCATTTTAATTTCTTTGAAGATTTTGTGAAGGTAAACGTCACAGACAACAAAAATGGAAACGCGAAAAATTGACAGGTATAATTAGTCACATAGTTCTCTGCAGAGAAGGGAAAAACTGAAGTCTTGTAACATGACTCCGTTCTTCAAAATGACACAAACAAGAACTTTCTTTGTTTTAGTAAATGCTAATTATCGGCAAACAGAATATATGTTACCGACTGACCTGAAAATGTCATCTGAGCTGAACGGTTTACCAAGTCTCAAAAACTGGCGCCTGTGATGGTTATTCTTTATCTGAATTGCGGTGATATCATTCCAAGGCAATAGAAACACAAAAAGGGGTTTAGAGATTTTAAGTATTTTGTAATTGATTGAGAGGTGTTCCTTAGAAAAAAACGAAAAAAAGTATGAAATGTTTCTGGTAGTCTCGCAAATGGTTATTGGTAACTCGATGCACAGCACTCCTTTTAGTCATGTTTGTTGCACCAAATACATTAACCTTGTGTTTAAGAGGTGAAGTGTGCAAATAGTTAATTATGACAAAATATAATAATATAAAAGGTAAGTAAGTAATGCTAATAACAAATATAGGCATATTTTTTGTTTAAATGCATATTCACTATGGGTATATACGAAAAACACAATTAATAAAAGCAGGCCATGGAATAGAATAAAACAAATACCTAATCAAAATATAAATAAACCTCAATTCCAGACCAATGCATTTAATTTTCTAGAGAAAATTAATCATTTCTGTCGGAATGTCGAAAAAAGCCCACTAGCGGCCACATGTGAAACTTACAAACTTCAGATATAACATGTGTAGCCCAAGAATTCCCTTTTCAACTAGCCCATCAAAGATATAGGGTTTTTTACGGAAACCTTCGAATAACCCCCACCAGTATTTTTACAGATACAGCAAAAGTTTTCAAACAAAAAAGTTCACATAATCTTCGACTTTGAAGATCAGGTATTCTTTTCAAAACAGATAAATATTCTCGAGAGACCATGATGACTGTTCTGCTATGGAATCACACGTATTTCTGCTGCGCTGACACGTCTGCCTAAGTGAGGCTAGAGGCGAAAAATCTAGGGGGTTATTTGATGAATTATAATGAAAATATGTACTACAAGCACTATCAATTTCTTGAGAGAGCGCCCTATGCGAAATACGTTTTCTAGTTCAGTAGTGGCCAATATTTCTGGGCAAAGATAGAGTTTGCGAGATGTCTCTGGACACAGAGTTATGCAGTCCATACCGACACAAATAGTCATGTAAAGTAAGCTTCAATTTTTGAGTATCAGGTCGACATTACCGTGGAATTGCTCTGCACATTCGAGTGTGCGGCCTCAACCTAATCATCCGGTGAGCTGGTCCGGTGACCGACGCCGCGATGCTCCGGGCATGCGTCGCGGCGCCTTATCACGCTGCCGCGCCTATCGCGACGCTTTGACGCTCGGTGCCGTCGACCTGCTGTCAGTAGCCAACTAGATCCATCGCACGCACTCTGCCTTCTCGCCGCGCATTCAAATCACCCATTTAGCCCGCGGCACGCTTCTGCAACTGTCATAGCGCGGTCGGATCCGGTTCTTTTTTTTGGCCTCTTCCGGGCGGGGTATGGGGTTCCGGGGTACGAGGTTTGGTTATTGGAAACTGTGATGTAATTGGATTGATTCTTGTTGGATTCGTTCTGGTGAGTTTTATTTATCATCAGTTAAAATGATCGCATTACAGACTGAGATATGCTCAATCTCAGACCTTATATTGTAAAAACATGAGTAAAATCAATTAACAATATAATTATAACTAGAAAATTTCCAAGTGCAATTAAAACCTGGCGAAATTCCACGTTAAAAGTCAGGTGTTAAAGACTTTATGAATAGGGTAATATCTGTGATCAGTGATTAATCTAAAATTGATTGAATAATCATCACGAAAAGAATGATGCTATTTATAGATGATTAGCTGAAAATTACCAGTAAATTATATTTCAATGGCTCTGGATGAAAAATAAGAAAAACATGATAATGTGGCAGATATCAATATATTATTGAACAAGTTACTATATATGGTATTTAACGGTACTATGTATAATTTGATCAAAACTTATTTACTTAACAGGAAACAATATGTGAAAATTCGTGAAACAAACAGTGAGTGTCTATCTAGTGACTAAGGTGTCCTCCAGGGGTCAGTCTTGTGGCCACTATAATAGTCGCTGATTTAAATCTAAAGAGTGCTAATCTTAATCCAAGGCATTTTACTTTTTGTGACGACGCAGTTCTTCTCTATAAAAGAAATCGTGAGCAGACTCTGCGTGATAAAGTTAACTTAGATCTTGCTCTTTACTGTACAGGGCTATATTCAAATAAACTGATGACCAACAACGATAAAACGATATACCTAATTTTCAAACAAAAGAATAAAATAATTGAAAACCTGTGTATAAGCATAAATAATGTCAAAATAGAAAAAGTTTCAAGCATCAAATACCTGGGTTTAATTATCGATGAGAATCTAAATTTGTCCAGTCACATTATTATTTTTTTTTTTGATAAAACAGCGTCGATGGTAGCTGCTTTGTATCGAAGCAGATACTGCTTAACTAAAAAAGTAAAATAAACATTTATAATGCATTTTTTTTTTGGCACATGAGACCTCCTAGCTTATGCCACGCATTATCACTAAAGCGTTCGACCAGCTGTAGCACTCTGCCCTCTTATGCAAACTTCCATGTTATGCCATCCCAGAAAAGCTTTGCAGATGGGTGGCTGGCTTTGTCTCTGGCCGCAAGATATCCGTCGTAATTGATGGGTTCTTCTTTTCATCCCACAACGTCATCGCGGGTGTTCCCCAGGGATCGGTCTTGGCTCCGACACTGTTCTTCTTACATATCAACGACGTAGGCACTGGTGGACAAATGAGCCTAAAGAATGCACCGGAACTTTACAATTTTGTCGACAAACTATGCAATGCCAACATATAGGCTTGGCTTCTTCTAACCCATTCGAATTCGTTGGATGAAATTTACCATCTTCGGGCGCCAAGGCCAAAAATAAAAAAGTGTCATCACTAAAGCTGTACATATGTACGTATATGCTACGTGTACGTAGGATTTTTGGGCTAGAATGACCGTTCGAACAAAACAAAGAAACGACAACTGTTGCGCTCTGGTTCTCACAGTGCTTTACCCGTATTTTATCAGTTTATCGTGGGAACATTAGCCATGTTCTATTTCCGTAACGAGTGGATTTTGTTGGTACGTTGCCAAACTTCATGCGGTCGGCCCTCCGATCTCTCTCATGATCATCCGAGTGTAGTGCACCCTTTATGTAGGTCACGCCCTTCCACGCGAATTCTCAAGGGAAAATCGATTTGACAAAACGGGCTGCACAGTGCGAAGCATCAGGATAATGGAGTGTATTTCAATTTTTTTATTTCTGTGGATATCAATATTTTTGCCTCCAAAAAGTACATTCTGAAAGTTTTCACTTGTAATCAACGAGAAATGGCGAAGTTTGCCATCAAATATTCGAACATTCCCACGATCTGCCCTGAGGATGTGACCCAATTTCTGACACTGAGGTTAGGAGTCTGTCAGGTGTGAGGGAAATAACCCTCATGTATGAGTAGGTATGTAGAGTATAAGGCAGGCGTAGAAAGCTGAAACACACGCCTAGTCGAAATTCACTAACTTACTATTCGTCATTATTCGTCAGAGCGGTCCGGTGGACCTTTGCTCTTAGTTAAAAGCCTCGTCGGTCTGTTAGTCGGTCAGGTAACTCCAAAAAATAATTTTGATCGATTTTGTTTACTGAAATAATTTTGGCTGGTCTGAATTTACAATTTAATTTTGATCACAGGGCGAGGCGCGGCCTGGAATGTTTGCGAACTTGCTCGACTGTGTAGTCTAGTGAATCACGCAACGGAGGGTTGCTGTGCGACTCCGCTTGATTATAACGCCACTGCGCCTGTTGTTTTACGTAATCCCTTAAATATAGGATATCAAGATCTCTGTGAATAGTCTCATTTGTACCAAGGGGCGTTAGTAATTGTGCGTAGGGTTCTGTTTTGCAGGACTTGCAGTCAATGCATGTGCGTCTTGGCAAGAAAACACCAAGCCGCGCATGCGTAGGTGATTTTTGGTCTTTGACCATTTTATACAACCGAATCTCGTTGATCAAACTTAATTTTGAATTTCTGCACATCTGAGGATAAAGCTGCCGAAAGGTAATTTGGAATTTTGTTTTCAAAATATCAGTATGTTTCTGCCAGGTCAATCCCTTGTCAATGATGACTCCAAGATACCTGACAGATGATAAATGCAGGTTGTCTATTGTACTTAGCCATTCAATGGCTGCGGAAAGATCGCCTGCAATGCCTTAGTGGCGCTAATCAGGCGACTTATTATTTGTTGAACGGACCTAAGCGCAGTTGCTAGGTCCACATTCTGCGTATTCAAAGTGGGTTGAACAGAGGGGGCAGCCGAAGATGTTGAGACGGCTGCTTCCGCGTATGACTTGCTGCGTCTTTGTGCTATGACTTCTAGATTTCGCCTGGGGGTGAATCTGCAAGTGGGACTGTTAGCGGGATGCGCCCCTCCACAGTTCGCACACTTTCACTCCTCTTGTCCTGTGAGGGCGGAAGCACATTTTAAACATTTGGGAGGTGCTGTGCAGTAAGACTGCGCATGACCATACCTTTGGCAGCGGTGACACTGGCCAATAAGTCTAGAGTTCTTTTGAACTTCAACTCTGATTGCTAGACCCAGCAGCTCATGTTCATTGAACAGCTGCTGGGACTTTTCAATCTTGGGCAGTATCACGACCACCAAAGGCATGGGTGCGCCGCCACTGCGTTTGAGTCGGATAATGTGGAGAGGAGTATATTCCCTCAGTTCTAATTCCCCTTTGATCTCCTGTTCTGAAAACATTGCGGGTATGCCTCTGACTACCGCGTGAATATTTCTTTCTGAAGGCAGAGGGAACGTATGATGGGGCACGTCCTCCTCCCTGAACAAGCGAACGATTCTTCGGTAGTCACCCTCAGTTTTCGGCAAAATCCTGATTCCCGCATCAACGGCAACTGCGCGTTCTATCTTAATGCCTAAGCTTATAAAGGTGTAGTTTAGATGTCGCCACTTGGTCGCATCACGCAAAACAATGGGCGTGATTCGCCCCTGGCGGGGTGCTGTGCTGGTCAACTCACCAGCAACGTGAGATTGTTGAGATAATGCACCGTCAGTCGATGCAGTGGCCAAAGATTGAGAAGATGTGGTCGCTGCATCGACCGTCATAGGACAAGTGGCAGAAGAAGTTGATACGTTCAATGAAGCAGAAGGTTTTGAGGGGACTGTCAACTTGAATTTTGATTTTGCTTTTGCAAGAGGTGGGAAGTCATCCGTCTTGTCGGTTTTGTTCGTTTTGTCGATGCGTCTTTTCCTAGACTTGGCCTCGACCGTCATTCTGTATTTCATCGTCGGTCGATGTCATGTCAGTTAAATTTTCAAGAGGTCCTTTTAAATTGACAGCCTTGTCAGATTTAGAATTAAAATTTGCATTATTGATTAACTGTGTTACCTGGGTGATCAGGCAGTCTATTTTACTGTTTTGATCCCTAACTGTCTCAGTTAGCTCCTTTATTTGCTGGGCCTGGCTTTCGATCATCAGGGTCTGGCGCTGAATGGTTCCGTCCTTTTCCTCTGCTATAGCTGGTGTCATCAATTCCTTTGATGTTTTGGTAATTTCAGTTCTCTCCTCCTGGCTGGGTCCATTCGTCATCGGGGGCGCTGGGGGATCATTACTTTGACCTCCAGAGTCTATCTCCATGTTTTTAAATCGGGTTTTCTATTGAAAAACTTGAAAACTTTGACGAGCAAAAATATGACGTATTGTCAATTCGGAGATTGAAACGTGCCCCTTCACTAACTTTATTCAGCACGAAACTGAAGGGCGCTATGAGCTTTGACATTCGAAATGACTCATAGCGACTTCCACTATGTATTTTGAAGAAGATCATTTACAGTATGTTGCCACATGGATTGCAGAGCGGCAGTATCATAAGAACTATACAGGGTGTGATCGGGGGTGATTGGGGGGTCCAATCAGAAAAACACAGGGTGTGGCAAAAATACCTGAACGGCATGAACACTCTTTGGGAATACATTTTAGTGGAAATACTTGGAATGAAAGTTGTAGGATTTCCCTCAACTATCGGTCGGTGACCTTGAGTTTGACCTTGATTTTGACCTTGACAGTTATCTGAAGGTCAATTTTAACATTTCAAACATTAACTCCGACTTTTGATTCCCGTAATGAAACGTCCGAAAAAATTTATTCTTCAGACATGACCTTGAATGACCCTCATATTTGATCCTGAGTGATTTCTCAAGGTGAACCTACCACTAATGCTGGATATCGATAACTCTTCGGGAATGCATTTTAGGGGGAAATGCTTCAAATGAAAGCTGTAGCAATCATCTTCAGCTATTAGAAGGTGATCTTGGATTCGACCTTGACTTGGACCTTGAAGGTATTTTAGAGGCCATCTTCAAAATTTTAAACGTAGACCCCTATTTTTGACCACAACGAAGAAACGAGCGAAAAATTTTACGTTCAGATATGACTTTGAATTACCCTCATATTTGACCTTGGATGACCCCCGGGCAACTAAGACGAAGACGATAGTTCCGGA